GGAAAGAGGAGTCTAGGGTTAAATACAGCAAAGAGCATTAGCTCGTACCTGAAATAATGAGCTAGAACAAAAACATTATCTGCACATAAAAGCCTCTAAGCCACTCAGAGACACCAGATACACACACCAGGAGATCAAACTACAGTATACTCCACTGAAGTCGCCAAAAAAAAAACCAACAAACAACTTGTTAGAAAGGAGAGGTCACAGGTATTTTAAAGAACACAGATGCTTATGCAGGTATGCACTGGAAGCCCCCCTCTCTCCCCCCCTAAATTAGCCTTCAGGCTGGTTGATTAGCTGGCAAACCCTTTGAAAGGGTCAGTCTGTCCCGAACTGGTATTTCCACTCGGGAAGCAGCTCAGGCATGTCATCTACCTGCGCTCGCCCAGCGCCGCGCTCCCGGCCGCCAGCCCTGTCATTACCGGACGCTTTAACCGCGGTAATTCGGCTCCGGCACTCAGGCCCCCGACAGGGAAGCACTTTTGGGGGGGACGGGGAGCAGGCACCAGCAGGCGGGGGGTTCGCGGGGCGCGCGTCACGGCACAGCTCGCAGACCGCCTCACCTCAACGACACACAGCTAACGAACCTGGGCTCCTTCCAGTTCAGCTGCACCTAACCCCGTTTAATAGTGCTCTTACTGTATACTTCGCCACTATGGCAACTAACACAACTGAGGAGAATCTGCCTTATTAAAAAAAAAAAAGGGGGGAAAAAAGTAGGGGATCACTGCCAGGAAACAGAGCTATTTTAAATAAACAAATACAAGATGAATGCAATTGCCGTATTAACCCTCTTGTTAACTTCTGAAGTTTAAAATTACACCCTCATTACTAGCGTGTAATTGAGTATTCTCCTGGCTGTTTCCTGCATTTGAGGTTATTCAAATAGTTCATTAGCACATCAAGAACACCACACATACTAATGACACCTGACGCCCTTATCTACTGTTTTGGCCCGACTTTCGTAACTCGCATCTCCCGCAAAAAGAAAACAGGGGGAAAAGAAGAAAAAGGAAGGAAAGGGGGAGCCCGCGGGGCTGAGCTGGCGGTGCTGCTGCCGAGGGGGAGCAGGGCAGCACCCGGGCACCTCTCGCATCCTGCACGCAGCGAGCGGCCACCGGACCGCTGGCGGGGCAGGAGAGTTACGGGGCGAAAAAGCTGGGTAACTCACATCGGGCTCGTTGGGTGCCTCAACAGTGAGAGTCGCCCCAGGAGCTGCCCCAGGGCTGGCGG